ATATGTGTATATATGTATATATACAAGATTTATATGGCGAGCTGTCTCCACAGCTCCGACTCATTAACCACTCCGGTTTTCCGATTTTTATAGCTGACCGCGGCTCAGTTGTTGAAAGTTCAAGTGATTGTATCCAAGTTAGCGGTCTTAAATACGAAAGAATACAGTGAATATACGTATTAAAAGAACAAACGAGAGTCACTGACTGTAGCATCGCTAAAATAGCGCGATTTTAATAAACTGACATTTTTCGCACTAGTAACCAATATGATTAATACAAATATTTAAAGGAAAATACATAAAGTAGGATCAGGACCAGCTCAAAAGAGTCATTATCAGATTTAATGCAAACTCTAGCTCGGTATTACTGTATATATAGATAGACGATCAATTGAGAGAATTAACTGGAAAGCATAGCTATGCAGAAACCCCTAAGAAGGCCACTAACATTTGCATAGCAAAGAACGTCCTCTAATTACGATGGGCAAATGCGAAAAGATACCTTCTCAGAAAAAGTGTTGAAAAGACAATGCCAGGCCATTCGACAGTAGGAAAGAGAAAAAATACGTCTTTTACGACATATTCCATCCGTTTGTCTCTTGTTTTCACCAACGACATCCCTGCTTTAAGCTTCTCTAATTGCAAGGTTATCGCAATACTACCAGCTCGCCTGCAAGCGATTACGCCTTGTAAGGCCAAACGTATTAGCTGCTATTAGCTCGATGTTACCGTTTGGCTGTCCGTGATTGCGAGTCATGTTTTGGTCCTCTATTGTTGAGAATAATTCGGGGATAGCTTCAGTAACCTATCAAGGACATTTGGGCAGAGGTTCGACTTCGCCTTCTTCAGCGATGATCAGGTGTTTATCAGGGGGCGGTGTCGGCCAGCGAGGATGCTTACATCAGTGCTCCGGTTAACTCACAACTGTTCAACATCTACTCGACAGCTCTGGGCAGAAATAAAGGCCCTTCACCAAAATTGACTGCATAAGTGTTATTATGTTCTTATTCACTGGCTAAGCCCTGCTGAAAGCGGAGGCTCTACTTGTTGACCAACTGCTAAGCCCGTCATTAAGCAGACTAGCTCAAACGAGATAGGAAAAGCTTATGGTAAAGGACCGACTCAAACTTATTATAGTTATGACATTGTACAATAATATATTTCCGACGTCCGATCGCATGTAACTGCTATATGATTGTGTATTCTGCAATACAGCAAACGCGTCTACATATTGTGATCGATCATCGGAATCATCATCAACAATTTACTGTGTTACGACGCAGAAACCACTCTAAAATAGCGGGGAATTGGCAATTTTTCACGACGTAGTAGCGGACGGCTCACCTCTACGCCGAC